GATCGGTTTTCTGTAAGACAGAAGAGTCACAGCACCAATCCCAAGAGGGTCCAGTCATCCCTGGCATCACAGTCCTATGGCTTGGTTGCTGCGGTAACCATGAAACAATCAATCCGCATTTTGTTCAGTTTCTACTTTCTTTAGTTTCTTTTCCTTTTCCTTTCCTTTCCCTTCCCTTCCCTTTCCTCCCTTCCTCTCTCCCTTCCTCCCTCCCTTTTCCTTTTCTTTCTTTTTCTTCCCTCCCCCATTCTCCTTCCCTCCTTCTTTCCTTCCCATCTTCCCTCCCTTCCTTCCTTTTTCAATCTTCTCTATTCAGCCTATCAGCATTATAAGATCAGAAGCCAATTATTAAATCACGGTGATTGTTGGTTTTAAATACACAGTGCTGGTTACCATGTGAGAAAGGTCATGAGGCACGACAAAACCCAATATCAGAGCTTTGCTGGAGGTGGGGCACAGAAGAGAGTGACCAGGCCTGGGAAGAGACACGTGAGGAGGGAGAAAGGAGGAGGGGGAGAGGAGGAGGGGAGAGAGCAGAAGAGAGGGGAGGAGCCTGTGTCCGGCTTTTTAAGGATTCCCCTGCACATGTGCAGGTGGGCTCACAGAGCTACACCACCCATGCGCTGATTGTGTGACCACACTGTGCACATTTGTGCAATCATGTGGCCCACTGATGATGTAAGACGTAAGACCCCTTGCTTAGCTACTGAACTTCGCATGTGTAGTCATATAGATAGAATGGCAGAATCCTAACATTCCAAACTTTTTGCTTATTATAAAAAAAGGTGGATGAACAGGAACAGGGGCGTCATTTCTCCCCCCAAAAAAAACTACTTCCAGCTGACTCAGTGGGTGTTGGTTAACTCTTGGGGGATAGGGAAGGGTGCTTCTGAGGTAGACAGGCATCCTGGGCTGTCGTCTGCTGCCTTGGAGATGTTCATCTTTCTTGGCTTGGGACTCTGTCCAGATAGACTTAAGCTGGTTTCTGGAGTTTAGAAAAAAAAAAATTTAAACATATTAAGAAGCAGCCATGAGAAAATTAAAGTCTTGGGCTGGTGACCATGACATGACATTGTAGTGTTTAGTACTCTGCTTATATTGATTAGTGTTAGTGAGAGAGAGAGAGAGAGAGAGAGAGAGAGAGAGAGAGAGTGTGTGTGAGAGAGAGAGAGTGTGTGTGTGAGAGAGAGAGAGTGTGTGTGTGTGTGTGAGAGAGAGAGAGAGAGAGAGAAATATTGGAACATGTTTTAAATTTTTACCTGAGATAAGCCTTATCAGAGACAGATTATTTTAAAGCACCTGTTTCCTTTACTAGTTTAGTAGCCAGGAGACACTAAACTCTGTAAGCTCTGTAAGCCCACCTATGCATATGCAGGGAAATCCTTAAAAAGCCGGACACAGACTCCTCCCCTCTTTTCTGCTCTCTCCCCTCCCCCCTCTCCCTCCTCCTCACGTGTCTCTTCCCAGGCCTGGTCACTCTCTTCTGTGCCCCCCACTCCTGGGGGTATGGGTACAGCAGGGTCTGGGGGCATCCCTTACCACCTGGGTATATCTGATGGTCCCTGGACTCCAGCTCTATGGTGATCCTGTAACAATTAGCTGAGTAGTTAATTAGAAGAGGGAACCAGTAAGAGAAAAGCTTGTGGGGTGAGACCTCATTCTTCTGGAATTGGTGACAAGGCAGTGGATCCTGGTGTCCTCTGGAACTTGAGAGAGAGCAGGGCCTTGTCTGTGTCAGTGTGCACGAGGAGGAGAAGCCCTGCTGACCGGTCTGGAGTGAGGCACATGGAGGGAGCAAATGAAGTGAAAGCTCCTGCCTTAGCTGGAAAATCTCCTCCCATTAGGTACCCCTGAAAGAAAGTGGTAAGAGGAATTAAGTGGTGGAGGTCTGGTGAGGTGGGTAAAGCTTTCCCCCTACCCCAACAATAGGGAAACAAGGAGAGGTGGGACCCCCAAACTCCCACAGGACTGAATAAGTGGCTCAGTGTCCAACAGGAAGGAAATGGATCGCCCCATGCTGCATCCTGGGTTCCCTGTGAGCCCGTGGCCAGGCCTAAGAGGTCTGCTGGAGGTCTTAGTTTGATGTCCCCATGCCATGAGGTGCATGAGGGCAGTCAGCTGACCAGTTATCCTTCTAGGTGGCACTTTGAACAAGGCTCAGTTGATGGCCCGAGTGGGTCAGGGCACACACTAGCCCGTGTGGCCTTCTAAAACAGGGACCTGGAAGCCCTTATGCAGCTGCTCGGATAGTGTGTGCCAGCATTTGGCAATTCGGTTCATGGGCTTTCTCATCTCTCCCATGGTACCTTAAATGCCACAGCTGCCGAATCACGTCACCAACGTTCATTTTAAGTACATGGTGCTGGTTACCACTCAGGAAAGGTCATGACGCACAAAATCCAGTATCAGAGCTCTGGGGGGTGGGGACAGAAGAGAGTGACCAGGCCTGGTGAGAGACTTGTGAGGAGGAGGGAGACAAGGGGGAGGAGGAGGGAGCAGAAGAGGGGGAGGAGTCTGTGTCTGGCTTTTTAAGGATTCCCCTACACGTGTCAGGTAGGCCACGCATGCACTGATTGTGTGACTGTGCACGTTTGTGCAATCACACAGCACACTGATGATGTAAGACGTAGGACCCCTTGCTTAGCTACTGAACTGTGTATGTGCGGTCATATAGCTTGAGTGGCAGAATCCTAACAGTAATGGTTTGAAAAGCATGAGTCTTCCCAAAACTCAGGCTGAGGTTTATTTAGTTCTTTACTCGGCCAGTGTTGGGAGGTAGGGCCACCCAGAAACATTTGGGGCTTTTGAACAGACACATGCTGTCTCCTGAAATTGCGTCCTCACTCTGTAGTCCTAGATGAGTTACCATGACAGTAGGTTGTCCGGAAGCAATGCTACCTCTTGTGTTCTTTCTCTTTATACTCAGTGCCTTGCCCTGCTGCTTTTCTGTCATGCAAGGCCTTCACCAGAGCCAGATAATCTTACTCAATCTTGGACTTTAGATCTCCAGAACTGAACCTCTTTTCTTTACAAAGACCTACTCTAAAGCATTCTGCTATAGAAACAGAAACCAGACTTAGACAATCATTAAACTTAATTTGTTGACACATTGTTATATACAATGCCTGGGTAGATTCCTTAGACTGTTAACAAGGGGTTACATCTAGGAAATGACTTGTGGAAGGAAAATAGTAACAGTGGAATCTGAATTTCTAAGCCTTACCTTCCCATAAATGAGCATGTATAATTTTGTATAATCATTTAAATAAAACCGTTTCCTATGTAATTTTGATGTCTAGTTGGAACTGGAACTACTGGCCATGAATCATTCTTTGCTTTTCATCAGAATATTAGAATTAAAACCAGAAGAAGGCTTCTTATGGGGCTGTAGGAAAGTGGGTATTACATGAAAGTAAGGTTGGATTTTTTTTTCATTATTGCTTTGATGACATAAACATATCTGAGTATTCACCTTATGGAATAAAGTTAATTTTTTGTCTGCCTCTGAAAACTGGTTATACTTTCATTTTTCATACACTGATTTTTCTAGAGACAAAGTACAATATCTTTGAAAGTATTTTTTAATCAAATAAAAAAATAGTATTGTGTTTCTAAGTGTCTCCTGTTTCCACCCACTAAAAAAAAATTCCATTGCTTAAAAAAAAAAAAAAAGACACTTTTTCCCCTCAAAAACATTTTTAGAGTTCCATGGCTGTCTTTTTTACTTTTATAATTTGCCAGAGTGAAGATGAGGGAAATCATGTTCTATGCACCATCATAATTATACTTTGAGAAAATAATTTTCAGTAAACAGAGAAATAGAGAGCAAGTTTTTTATTTGTAACTCCTGCCTAGCTCTTTTGTTTTGGGACAAAAAACAAAAACAAAAAACAAAAAACAAAAAAAAATCAATAAGTTGTATAGTTTCTCTTAGGATGATAAGCTAGATTCCATGGAGCTTTCCTGAGGACCCAAATTAGCAAACAGTGTCATTCACTATTCATTATTGGTCTTCACATAGACTTTAGCACTTAGATTATGCGGCGTTCCATATTCCTTCAAGCCACACTGAGCTTTGTATGGCAGTGCCCTACATGCTGACGTAAATAGTATGCCATTGTTCTGAGTTGGAGGGGGAGACTTCTTGAAAAAGATTACCCAAAAGTTCTCAGTGACTTTGTTTCTGGCTCCAATCAGAAGCAGCACCCTACCTGGTGAGCTTCCCCATGGCTGGAGTGTGTGTCCTTTGGCCTCCTGCTGTAGCTCCATGCTGACTGTCTGCCCTGACACACCCCAGCTATTCTTTACTAACAAGGACACACCTTGGAAAAGCATTCAGGATGCTGGGTCACTTTTTCCATGTTATAAAAATCTTACCATGGAGTTATGATGTGCTTGTTGTTTAAGCAATTAAACAAAGCTCCAATGAATAAAGAACAATTCGCTGTTTATCCTCATAAAGGATAGTTGTAGAAAATGGAAAGAAACAGCTAAAAATACTCAAAAATGAGCTGTGCTTTGCCAAATAACTTATTCGTTTACAAAACATGATTTTCAAAGCAATTTTTATCTTGCTGGCTGAAGACACAGCTCTTGTTGATAAAGTACTTGCCATGCATCCTGAGTTTGATGCCCAGCTCCCATTTATCCATATGAAAAGCCTGGTTGGCGGCTTGTGCTTGTAACCCAGCTCTGGGTAGGCAGGCACAGGAGGACCCTGGGGGCTCCCAGAGGTCAACCAGCCTAGCCTACCTGAACAGCTCCAGGTCCAATGAGAGACCTTGGTTCAAAAGAGGGGGCGGCGTGAAGCTCCTGAGGAACAATAGCTGAAATTGACTTCTGACCTACACACAGACACACACACACACACACACACATACACACACAGAGACAGAGAGACAGAGAGAGAATAAATTATTCTTTAAGAGAGATTTTTTGATTTAGATTCAATTTGTTTCTGTAAGATGGCCAAATGGAATGATTTAAAACTAAACTTGCAGAGTTCTACTTTCGTTTCGTTTTGTTTTGTTTCGAGACAGGGTTTCTCTGTGTAGCCCTTGGCTGTCCTGGAACTCACTCTGTAGACCAGGCTGTCCTCAAATCAGAGATCTTCCTCATTTTTTAGAGAGCAGGCTGGTTGCCTGGTGAGTGCACAGTAATGCTATCCTAGTATTTAGGTAGATCCCCATTCTGTATAACACCGTGGGGCTTCTGCCCCTACACACAGCCATTCCCTGGCTCTCCTTTTATGCTTCATGTCCCAAAGGACATTGTTACTCACACACAGACACACACAGCTGAAAAAAGGCATGCTGTCCCAGAAGGCAATTCTCTACAACTGGGACACATGCATAAGAACTCCAGACAACTAGGGAAATGGGGAGTTTCTTCAGCATTTGCTTATTAGCTGCTATTATTTGCACAAAGTCATGCCTTTTAAAAATTACTACTGGTGCATTTTTGCCTTTTCCTTTTTAGGCAATTTTCCCACATACTTCATTTTCTTTGAGATAGTGTCTCTCCTTGTATCCTAGATTTCCTTCAAGCTTAATTCATCCTATTTCAACCTGCAAAGTACTGGGATCATAGGTGAATGAGATTGTGTCTTTGTGTGCATATGTTAGTATGGATGCACATATGTACAAGTATTTGCGGAAGGTAGTGGTAGAAATTGAATATCTTCTCAATTGGCTCTCCACCTGATTTTATTTTATTTTATTTTATTTTATTTTATTTTATTTTATTTTATTTTATTTTATTTTATTTTTGAGACAGGGTCTCTCACTGAATCTGAACTCATCAATTGGATAGAGTGTCTGGTGACCAAACTTCATGCATCTGTCTGTCTCTACCTTTCATCACTGGAATTAAAGGCACACACCTCAGGGCCTGGTCTTTTATATGAGTGCCAGGCTTCTAAACTCAAGAACTCATGCTTGTTGGCAATTACTTTACCCAGTAAGCCATTTCTCTAGCCCTGCTCTGATTTTTTTGGTAGGAAGAAAGGCAAATGATTCTATGGTTTGGTTTCCTTTCTCTTTCTACACTTTCAAACCCACTTAGACTCATTGGGGAATATGTCAGAAAGACATGAAATCACTTTGTCAAGGCCACATAAACTGATACATTGGTACTAGCATTTGCTACTGAGTTAGACTGACAGCTATGGTTCTTCCTTTGCAAGAAATCTTAGATAAAGCTCTTGGGGAAGGAGATTTAGGGAAATACACAACCCTGGGCACCAGCTAGGTTTCCTGTTTGAATCCAGTGGATTTTTAGCCATCTAGATTAAATTCAGATTCCATCAACACCAGTTACTGCAGCTGTCAGGATCAACTGATCAATCGTCAGTCCTGATGAAGGACACAGAATGACAGTCCATCTATCCAGTGCAAATGACAGGCGTGTTAGCCAAATGTGAGGACTTCCTAGGATTCACAGCAGAAAAAGGCTGAGATGACCCTAGGAAGAAGGCTGCACATCCTAGGAAGTGCGGTCAGTGGTCAGCAGGAGGAGGCTGCCCCTCAGTAGCACCCAGGCCCTTTCTTTTCTCTAGAATGAGTGGAGCTGTCACAGCACCCTAGGGACTCAGTTTACCTGTGCAGAGAACAGGAGCAGTTTGGGGTGCTGTGTACCTCTTTCCTCCAGTTTGGGTAAGACCATGAGTTCCACAGCAGTTTCCTCTGAGATCAACAATCCATCATTCAGAGAAGCTCACTAGACAGGAAACAAACAACTCAAATAGCTTCAGGAATTCCCTGAAACTGACTAGATCCACCAGACCCCTCCCTCCTCAAGGGTATATAAGCAATAAAGACTGTAGAGAGTCACTGTCAGACCAGTCTAGCTGCCTAGAAGAATCAGAGATCAGCTGAACTGCCCAGAACAGTGTTCTCAACCTTCCTAATGCTGCAACCCTTTAATGCAGTTCTTCATGTTGTGGTGACCCCCAACCATAAAATTATTTTCATTGCTACTTCATAATTGTAATTTTTCTAGAACTGCGAATCATAATGTAAATAGCTGTGTTTTCTGATGGTCTTATGAGACCCCTGTGAAAGGGTACTTTGATCACCCCAAGGGAGGCGTGACCCACAGATAGAGAAAACAAAAACCAGCTGAGCTGCTTAGAAGAGGTTCAGAACAATTGAGTCACCCAGGAAAGACACTCTTCATCCTGTTGAGCTTTCTGTTTGTGTGTGCTCTACAGTGTGCTCCAGGTTTCTAGCTTTAGTGAACTGTCATTCATGCTGGAGAAGTGCAGCTGCCTTTGAGTCAATTCTGCTCCTGTTAACTAACCCCTCACCTATATTCCTGTAAGTAACTCCAATAAAAATTATTAGTTCATCAAGTTCAACTTTGGTGCCATCATTACTTTGATCTTTTGTCAGTTCCCTATTGACTGAGCGTAGACATTTGTTTATGTCTCCTCAGGAATAGTGTCCGATATCATTGCTGTGTAGAATCAAAGCAGTTGTGATCACACAAAGGAGACTCACAAGATGTCAGCAT